ACCAAAATTAGCTAATTGTCTGCACCGTTCCGCGCTCTGATTGGCTTCCGAGTGTAAGGAAAGACAATTTATCGATTTTAAAATTTAAACCCCCTTGTAAATGTATGGCCTGATGAAAATTTACTGAAAGCGTTTGCTCGCCAAAATTGTGTTCTCAATAAAAACAGTTAAATCGCATCTTAAGTCACCCCAATGATCTTAAATTCGCGGCATGAATGGTGTTAATCGACAAGGTAATTTAAGCCTAACTAGGAACAAATGCAGATAGAAAATACCATTTTTAGACTGCTGTTAATGCGAAAATCCATTATTTAAGTTTGAAGAACCTATTATTTTCAACATAGTACTTGCAGAACTTGGAACCTTGATGGCGTAGTGGACCGTTTGGTATGACAAACACTGCGCCCTTACAAATAAGCAGTCATCTTAACTCCTTATTAACATCGCAACGCGGTTTAGACGGGAATATAGCGAGGGCGGTTTCAACATAGATCTTATTTACTATAAACGAGCTCACAGCCAAAGCCCCTCCCGCCTACGTCTTAAACTCAGTAGTACAACTCGTGACATGCGAGATTAAATCATAATATTACGGACGCTTATATAGACGGTCATTGTGTAGTACATTATTTATACAAGCACCTGGGCAGGAAGTGGCTTGTTAGAATGAAGGAAATATAATTTATGCTTGGGAAAAATCACGAACAGAATGTCGGAACACTGTATAATTCAAGGGAAGCTAAGAATAAATATTGTGAGTAGAAAAATGAAGCACCATGAACCTCAAAGGGTTTGAATGAATTATGACAGTTAAAACACTTACACCAAATAAGTACATAAAAATGGGTTTGAGATGTCTTACTTCGCAAGTTCAGGTATTATAGGTTGAGTATTATATGGACACCGAATGCTGACAATGGGAAATGATTGGAATACCTATCTGGGGAACGGCTTATACTCACTAAAAGCATCCTTGATGAGGGAGAATAATATGTTTTCTACAAGAACAGTCCGTTTAAGGATGATGTGCGAAATCGAGATTCCCCAAGCATACACTGGCTGTTTGGAGGTTGATTCTGATGGGGCGCACCAGATATCCCAGCGTATTTTAGGTGCAGGGACGGCGAAATGCATGCAAATTCGTAGACATTGCCGCATTTTCCCTACTTTTTTATTGATGCGCATCCTGAATCGCACTTGGCGTGCCCTGGGTTGGTTACCGCGTTGGTCCAATACCTCTTGGCCTGTTGTAAGGACGGAAACAGCTTACCCTACTGCAAGGATGAATGCGCGATTACTGGAACAGTAGGCATATAAGCCCCAGCTTTGAGAACCATACAGGGGCCAGTCAATATATGGCATGCGAATGCAAACGCAAGAACAAGTGCGTATTTTT